CCCAAAGGACTCTTTTCACAACATAACAATCCTGAGTCTGGACTGGGATGGAGCTGCCCACATCAACACAAGGCTCTTTAGAGATTTCCCTGCAAAACTAATGCACTTCCACTTGGTCTTTTCCTAGAAGGAAAAATGTGGAGCTGGCTACTCTGGCTTTGTGTGCCTGGCAGCAGCTTTTGCTTTCTGGCCTGTCCAGTCCCAGGGCCTTGAGGGTGGCATGTGGAAGTGATCCATCACTGGCCAGAGAGGGACAGGGCAGGGGCAGTCGGGGACCTTACATGGAAAACCATGGCTCCTCTTCCGCCGCTTGCCTCGGACCTGCCCTGCTCTTTCTTTGCACAAGGGTCACCTTCTCTCGTTTGCACTAGCCGCACTAGTTCTGGTGCCAAGACGTATGAGAGGGAAGCAGCAAAAGCCTGAGAGAGGTTTTCTTTCTGCATTTCTTTCCAAAATGGTTCAGGTGCCTGGTCTGAGGGCACCAGAAAAGCGCATGTGCTGTTTGCATGGAATCTACCTACAGTCATGGAAGCTGGGAGGGGATGACCATCACCTTCCTTCGCTCCCAGATATGGGGCCTTCTACTGTCAGCCTAAATACAAAGACACCAGATCCTGTCTGATCTCGGAAGCTAAGCAGGGTCAGCCCTGGTTAGAACTTAGATGGGAGACTGCCGATGAATACCAGTTGCTGCAGGTGATGCTTCCAAGAAAGGAACTGGCAAAACCAGCTCTGAGGATTCCCTCCCTAGGAAAACCTTCTGAAATTCATGGGGTCATTATAAGTAGACAAGTGTCTTGAACACACACACACGGATGCGGACGCACGTCTGATCTTGGAAGCTAAGCAGGGTCACCCATGGTTAGGACTTGGATGGGAGATCACCAAGGAATACCTGGTACAGTAGGTGATATTTCTGAGGAAGGAACTGCCAAAACCACCTCTGAGGATTCCTAGCCTAAGAAAAACCTTGTGAAATTAATTATTTTGTTATCTATTTCATTTCATTTTGATGCCGCCTTTCTCCCAGAAAGGAATCCAAGGCAGCTCACAAATAAAACAATGGGGTCACCTTGACAGGTGGCTTGAAGGCAGATGCCCGCATGCACTTGGCAGGAGAGATCCTTCATGAATCATGCAACATCTGTGCAAGTTTCAACTTATTTGGCCAAGAGATACCAGCAAGACTGAAAGGAGTTTGGGACTAAAGGACCAAAACAAAGCCTGCAGCTCTTTGTCTAAAATTCGGGGGGGGGGGGCGTAAAGACCTCAAAAGGGGCAACTCTCCTGGAACCTTTTTGTCTAATTCTGAAAAAATTGGGAAGTGGAATTATTGCTGTTTGCTGACTTTTTCATGAGACATTAAGGCTGCAGCCACACTGCAGAAATAATCCAGTCTGACACGTTTTTAACTGCCCTGGTTCAGTGCTATGGCATTCTGGGAACTGAAGTTTGTGGTGGCCCCAGAGGGGAGCATTGAGCCAGGGCAGTTTAGAATGTGTCAAACTGGATGCCTGTCAGGGATGTTTTGACTGAGAGTTCCTGCATGGCAGAAAGGGGTTGGACTGGATGGCCCTTGCGGTCTCTTCCAACTCCAACTCTATGATTCTATCATTCTATTTCTGCAAGGTGTATGCAGCCTAAGTTTTGGAGATCCACATCTAGATTCAGAATCAGACCAGAGTCCAGCAAGACAGAGTCCATTTGGCCTGAGCTGAGCTGGCCCCGTGGCGGACGGAGGTCCACTCTGAAAGTTGTGTCCAGCGGTGCTCTTCTCTGGTCCTTTCCCTCTTGGTTTTTCTCCAGAAAGACAAAGCCAGGTGCCTCCTCTTGAATCCCTGCTTCGTATCTCCTCTTTCTGTGCTTCATCGAAGTAACTGACCTGAGTCTGATCTCTTCTCTATCATCTGCTGCTGACAGATATTTCTATTGTTTATCCTATTATGCTAACATTTCCGGAGATTGCCTGGATAAAGACTTTAAACGCAATTCCCGCTGCCTCTGCCTTGGCGGGGCGTCCAATTCAATAATCTCTGGGGCCCTGCCACAGATCGGGCTAATGTGAATCTCGATCAAATCTATATCCGTTAAGGGCATGAATTACAGGTCTGCTGGAGCTCTTCTGACACGCTTGAGGTATCCTTGCGCACCTGACAGTATTCCCAGCAAGGCCAAACCAAAGCAGAATAGAGTGGCATTATTACTTCCCTTGATCTAGATACTTCAATTCCATTGATGCAGGCTACAATTGCATTGGCTTTTTTAGCTGCTGCACCACACTGTTGACTCATGTTCAACCTGTGGTCTACTAGGACTCCTAGATCCTTCTCAGGTATATAAGTCTTCTTAAGCCAGGTGTCCCCCATTTTATATCTATGCATTTCATTTTTTTTGCCCTAAGTGCAGTGCCTTAGATTTCTCCCTGCTGAAGTTAATTTTGTTAGCGTGTTTTGTTCTTCTTGACCCCATGATTCAATGGGGAACAGTAACATACGAGGGATCTTTCTGGCACCCCATTGAAGGCACATAGTGGAAGAATTATATATCATACAAGAATATGCAACTGCAAGGTTGGTATTCTCCTTCTGGATAGTCAAAAGAAAATGTAGGGCAATGTGTGAATACAAGCAATTTATAAGAGCAGTAAATATTTGCATTATTTGCTAAAAGTTACACGAGTGACATATTATCAGTACCAAACTAATTTATCCTACTGGATAAAGAGTAGACTCACTCATTCTGTTGTTGAATGGTGAGCCAACGGTTGAGTCAATCCCAATGACGCAATGGGTCTCCTCTATTTGGGACCACCCTAGGACCGATTCCCACGTGAAGTAGTGGCACTTGTGCAACAGTGAACTGAATGCATCTGTTGCACAACAGCCAAAGCCGTACTCCCACAAGGGTCAGGGAAGTCCCACAGGCGTGGAAGACGCAGGGGATTTCTTTCTCTGTTCAAAAGAGCTCTCCAGCCCGTGTCTGGTTTTGTGGCAGAGAAGAGGAAGGAACCTGAACAGGCCCATCGTCCACAGCAAGCGGCTCTTAGGCCATCTGCTCACATCTTCCCTCTCATGGGCCACAATGATGTTGGAAAGTCTTTTATGGTTTTGCGTCAATGTGGGGAAATGAGCCGTTACCACTCTCATGCAACCTGGTGTCTCTTTTATTTTAGTGACGTGGAAGCAGCTGCCCCCAACATCTCCCCGAATCTCTTGAAAGACACCCTGTGCCTGCCTCTCCCACCTGGACGACAGATGCCGAGGCTGCTCTGGGTGCGAATGAACCCAAGCCAAGACTGCCCTGACCACTGCCTACTTCCATCCCTTCATGCCTGCCAGCGGCACCCCATGGCTTTCGTTTCCACGGGGTTGGTGAATCCACTTTGGGGTTTAATCTGGACTGGGTTCCTCAAGAGGCTGGACCCTGGCTCCCAAATGAGGCCCAGGACCTTAGACAGCTCCCCAAGAGTTCGAATGGAAACCCAGAGCGGACTCTTCGTAGCTCCCACTTCTCTTCCCTGTCTCTGCCAAGGAATTGTGGCCCATCTCCATGGCAGAGGAGGGCACAAGGTCGCTGGTGCTGGACCTCTCAGAGCCCAGTAATGAGGACCCGGCCCATCTGCCGCCGCCGCCGTTAATGACAGCGCCAGCCCTGTGCCATCCCTGGGAGAGAAGAGGGCAGCCTGGGAGTCACCGAATGAGTCGCAGCAGGGGTCAGCCAGTAATTACTTTGGGGCCTCCGATGTGCAATTTCCGTAATTGGTACGCGGGAGTCTGAGGAAGAAGCAGCTCCCCTTCATGATGCTTCATGTGCCAAGCAGAAGCAGAAGCAGAGAAGAAGGGAAAGCGGAGAAGAAGGGGAAGCAGTGGGGGAGGCAGGGAAGCAATGGGGCAGGCATAATAATAATAATAATAATAATAATAATAATAATACGTTTTATTTAT